ATTCTTCGCAATGGATGATCGGAAAGTATTTCCGATGAGAATTATATGCACTTTTTAAATATGAATTTAGAAATTTTGTCTCGATTTTTGTTCGAGAGTAATGAAATAATCTTTCAAAAGTCGAAAAATTTAGTTTCGACGGAAAATTTTTGTATTTTTACTATTGTGATTCGGAACTAAAAGTTGGAATTGTTATTCATATATTAACTTGTAGATTAGAAGTTACCCTACAAAATGAATTATTTGAAAGCTTTTCTATGTTTCAATACTCATTTTTGAAAAATCGATAACCATTTTACGTTGAAATGAGCTGTTGAAAAAATATTTTGGCAAAAGCTATAGCTTAGTTCAGTACCAAATTTTTATAGAGAAATATTAGTTCTACGGAACAATCGACTCCGACAATTTTTCGTATGTTCGAAACGAAACTTATAGGATAAACAAAAATCTGTTGGCTCACCATTAAAAAATAATTCTTTTCGGTTTTTTAATAAATCTCTCACTACTCTTGAACATATTTAAAAGAGCACAAAATTTTCGTCAGAAATACTTTCTAGCAGGTCAAAAAATGAACAAACATCTTGCCTAAAAAGTTTCCGATCACTCGTTATATCAAAGGAAACTTTATTAATTAATTAATGATAAAAATATAGAATTTGTTCATAATTTTAATGAGTACTGGATTGTTTTCTCGGTAAAGCTAATTCATTGATTCTTTCTGTTGCTTGATATCTAAGTGCCGAACGTGATACAGGTCTCGGAAGAGGTAATTCAAATTGATAGGATTCACGTCGTTCTAATGGTAAAGCTAAATTACTAAGATGTGATGAACATTCAGCATTTGTTGCAGCTTTACTAACACCTGAATATGCTGGATTACTTATATAACGAGAATAACCTATAATTATGATTTTTTTTCTTTTAACAAAAAAAATTTAATTCATCATTTCTCATTTTACCTTCTCGTATTGTTGTATCTTTACGTATTTTTGGTTTTGATAATGATTGAATTCGATCTGTTGCTTGATAAATCAGTGCTGATGGTGTTACAAATGAATATGGTGATCGTTCATATTCATAATATTTACGTTCATATGATTTAGATGAATGAGATGACGATGCAGATAATGCCATTTTATTCACAGCGTGATGACAAATAATAAAGTGTAGGTATGACTGAAAGAAAACAAAATAAAAACGAACACAACACTTCTATGTTATTTAACGTATGTTTAATGTCAAGAGGAACAAGAACAACAGCAACAGAAGTCTTGCAAGCATTTAAATTACACATTTTTTTTTTTGAAACAAAAAATTTACTTTTGAATTTTCAATATTTTTCTTTTCGTGTTCTATCTATGCTTGTGATGATGATGATGATGATGATTGTTTTTTATATTTATCTATAATTAATGGAATAACTATTTCATGTTTAAAAATATTTTGTACTATGTTAATAGCAAATAATAACATAGATTATAGGATATTTGATAATATAAACAATATATATTGAAATACTAATTGCTAGAGAGCAGATAAATATTAGTTGAATTATTGAGTATGATTTTGTCTGAATAGAATTTTGTTGACATGAAATAATGATCGAATTTTTTTTATCCTTTTAATTGAAATAATTACCAAAATGACTGAGTTCTACAAAAAATAAGAAAAAAAAAGAACGTTCTTAATAATAATCCTTCAGGTCATATTAAGAACTTTGTATGGATTATTTTCAATAGTCTAAAAACATAACTTAATAGACATTAAATCTTTAAAAGTATTTTTTCACTCGTTTGGTAATAGAGATAAAGAATGTAAAATAAGTTTTGACTCTCACATGTTTTTGTATTGACCGAGACTGATATTCACAGTACACACACTAGAAGTCTAGATCTATTCTATGGTAGAATTTCAGTCCATAGAGATATAAATGATATCAAAATCATAAAAATGTTTGAAACTATCATGAATGAGCAAAATTGTAGTCATTTGATCATCTACTACCTACAGGTAATATTTGCTTTTTGTGCATAAAATTCTTTCGTTCTGTAATTTGTCCACGCCATTAGGAATGGAAAAATATTATACGACATTTTTGCTTCTGATAATCGTAACAGACAGAATCAACAAAAACACACGAAGAAATTACATCAAAAGTCATTGACGAATGTATTGATCTTGAAATAAATTATGCAAAATTTGCTGATATTTGACCAATTGAGAATGTATGTGATGCAATTAAGGAAAGAGTGAGAAGTAAACAATTTTTGGAAGAAATACCGGGTAATGGAAGGGAGCAAAGAGATAGGTACACTTCTTATTTTCGAGAACAAGACTCTTGTTTGTCAATAGATTTGGTCAGAAAGTCTTATATTTTTGGTTTCATTTTGCAACAAGGAAAATTTTCATGAGCTGCACCTGCCTTTTGTTTCTTTACTTAGTTTTAGATAACTGACAATAATTGATTCAAAAACAATCACAATAAGAAATCGTAATAAACAAAGGGCGGTGCCACAATCTTGAAAATTTTTGTTTCTCTGCTCATCAATTCCCAATAAAAACGTCCAATCTCTCCCTTCAAATTCAGTTAACTGTAGCAAACATTTTCTGAGTCATCGATTGGACGTAGAAAGGTCGAAAGGAAAAATATTAAAAGTGATGAGATATGGAGCAGATCTCGAAATCGGGCTACTTTTTAATAGTCCGGCTCGATTCAACTTAGAATGGTACTATTAAAAGTATATTTCCTTTACGAAAAGAATTTCTACACAATCACTGGAATCATTTATGAGAACATTGTAAAAAGTTTATTATTATAGTGATCACGAGTTGAATAAGGTCGGACAATTTTAATACTTGAAAAAAAAGCAGCATGACAGGTAAGATGCATATGTGGATACTGCAACTTCTAGAAGACTATCATTTATTAACATAAGTTTTCACGTGTCAAATGTCTGTTGATCAATTTCAAAATGTCAGATTGGTCTCTATTTTTATTTACATTGTTCCACCTCATGCAATTGATTGATAGTGTGCTCGGCTTTGTGTGTAGACGAAGAATGTCATTGAACTGAATAAATGTTCTACTTGTATTTATTGATTAGATGAAATTCCCAAAACGTTCACATAATAAAGATTCTTGATTGTTTAGAGAACTGCGAGTCCTTCCAGATTCAAATTCGGTCGGGTACGGGTCCACAAAAAACGTGGATCCGCAGCTCTCTATGATTGTTACAAGGTGCAAAATCCACGTAAGAAATTTTGATGAAAAATGAGAATAAAATCAATTACTCTTTGATTAAGAAAGATTAAAATCAAATGAAATCTATCTTTAAAGTTGAAAAATCAAGTTTTTATGTGATATTCAAATTATTTCTTGATGGTATGGATGTAGTTCTTCTTCTCCTCATCCAAAGCTCACATCTAACCCTCAGATTTAGACGCAAGAGCACAACAATTACTATTCAACATCGTATAGATAATCTTGGTGAACGATATTATATGGGCAAAATCATTTGTTAGCGACGTGACTTCGGAAAATTAAAATATGTGTATCTCGAGATAATGAGCTCTCTTAGATCTGATTTTTTATATGTTGTATGGACATTAAGTTACTCTAGATACCTTAAAAAAATTAGCGCTATGGAGCTTTGTTTACAGGAGTTACTGGTAAAAAACTACCGTTAGCGACGTGACACAAAAAAGGACATCGATTTCCACTTCGTGTATTTTAGTTTTTAATAACTCCCAATTCATGCACAATTTTAGAAAACTAAATAGGGCATTTCGTAAACGACTTCTAAGCTATAAAGTCTATATCCAAAATTTTTCTGACTATGTCTAGATTTTTCAAAAATACCGATTTATTTGTCGTTAGTGACGTGACACAGTACGACTACACAATCGAGATGATACTCTTGTAACCAACTGAAAAGTTCAAAATCAACTTCAAACGTTACAAATCATTACTCAGAATCCCTAGATGATGATAAGAGAAAAGTTTTCGCTTCTTCACTTTTCAGGGTCTCTAGAAAACCGGTTTTTCGGAAGAAATTTTTCGGAGTCCAATCTTGCTGAAAATTTTACCATAGATGCAGCTTATGCCCTAGACTCTATCCTGAAGTTTTCAGATTTTTTTCTCATATGGTTAGCGAGATATTCGCTAATTAATTTTTAATTAATTAATTAATTAATTTTAATTAATAACCATGTGAAAGACCAAACATTTTCACATAAGCCTATGCCAAAAGAATTTATCCAAAAAATTCACTCTTATAGAGAATCAGTCTCAAATGCAAGGTGCAAATGTCCTATTCTGCCTGATTTTGCCGATATAATGAAATATATAGATAGTTTATCATTTACAGTTGCTAAATGGAAAAAAATAACACTGTTATTTCTTTCATCATTTTTTTATCTCTTGACTTGCCTGTGATCTATGTTACAATGTTAGTATTATGTATCCTCTCTCCGTTCTGCTGCCTTCGGGCTACTTCTGTTAATAAAAAAAAAAAAACCATAATTTAATTGAATTGATTATTAATATATCAACATTCATTCTTCTTATATATCCTAATAGTATTTCATTCATAATATTTAATTTATCTTGATGATCAAAAAAAAACAAGTATCGATACGATTATTTAGAGAATATGTTTATTCGAAAAAAAAAGCAAAACAAAAATATTTTAATCCATCAAAAAAAAAAGAATTTATTTTTTTCAGTTTGGGAATAGAATAACTACTGTTAATGATACTATATTAGTATCATTCGAATTATATATTATATTATAAACATTTATAAAAAAAAAAAGAAAATGAAAAGAAAATTTACACATACATACTAAACGATGTTTAATGTTTAAATACAAACGACTAGGTCAAAATGAAGAAAAAAAAAAGAGAGATTAATGCTAGTTCTTATTTGGAATGCTTTAAAACTGTTCAAATATACATCGAAAAAAAAAGAAAAGAAAAGAAAAATAAAAATAAAAAATAAATTAATCTGTTATTATAGATCGTTCTTGAACTTCTGATCGACATATAGGACATAGATCTAATTTTAATGCACATTGTTCACAAAAACCAGTATGTTGACATGGTTTAAACATTATATTAGCTTTATCATCAACACATAATATACAATCTTGTTCACTTATTTTAATTGAACGTAATAATTCTAATTTTTTATATTTTGGTAAAATAAGTTTTTCATCATCAGATAAATAACCATATTCATTAAATGTCTTATATGATTGAACTGTTGTTGGAGGATAACGAAATGGTATTGAACCAAAATTGAAACGACAATGTTGATATGACATAAAACTTGCAGCTGCAAAATAACCATCAGTTATAGGAGCAGATGTTGACGAAAATAATTTACGTAATGGATCAAGTGAACGACCATTTAATGAAAATATAACTTCACGTCGATCAAAATCAATTAAACAACCTATAAAAAAGAAATATTTTATTAGTTCAAATATAGCAAAAAGTATTTTTATTGACTTAAAATTAAAAATAAGTATAAAACAGTTCCGATTAACAGATACACTGGTGAATATCCCTATTGCATGTGAAGTTCATTTTTAAACTAATGTATCGAACTTCAATAATTATATTCAATTTCTATATAAATTAAACATAGAATAGATACTTATTGATGCGTTTTTTTTTATATAAAAGAGATCGGATGATTTTTTTTTTGGTTAATCATACTATTTGAGTTTTGCATACAGTTTAATTTCTAACAAACGAAAACTCTTGAAATAGGAATATTTCATAATGAAAGAGTATACATATGAAAAATAATGCGGAGTAAAACAAAAAAAATTATAATCAGATTTGTAGAATATTAAAAATTTCTTGTTTACATATATGAAACAGTATTATTTCATTGTAACTTAAAAAGAATGAAATATATCATTAGAATACATTCGGATTTATGATTTTTCCAAAATACGTAGAAGATGGACAATTATATTATTAGAAAGCATTTTAATCTTATCGTAAGAACCAACTCACTTAGTAATTATAAAAAAATTAGTGTCAATTATTGCATATAAAAAAAAACATGGAATAATCAGGTACTAAAAAAAATGTCACGTTGTTTCCAGTTTTTTTTTTTTTTTTTGAAAATTCATCAATAAAAACGAAACTCTTACCAACAATATCACCAGGTTTCCAAGCTGGATTATTATGTGGTATAGATTTAGCTCCAAACCATATTAAATTTCTACAACCATCGTATGCTATAGAATACTGATCATCACCAATACCATAACCTTCATGATTCAAAAATTTTGATTGTTTTGTTGCCCATCCAATTTGCATAACACCATCAGTTACAATAAGTACTTCATAATACCAAACACCTGTATTAACATGAAATGTACATCGAACACTTTCAAATGAAACTGTATCGCTACGTGCTTCAAGACCATCAGGACCAATTTTTAAATATTCACTAACATCTTTATCATTAAGCATAACATTTATATAATTATGATCAATTACTTCATATGATGGTCGACGATAATCAAGAATAAATACATTATCAAGTAACCATTGAGCATAAAAACCTTAAGAAGAATAAAATATATATTTTTTTTCTTTTTGTTATTGTTACTTAAAATCTTATCTTCTTACCAATTTGTCTTTTAAGACAATTATTTGATATAGCCCATGGTTCATAATATTCTAAAACATTCATTTTTGATTGTTCATTTTGAATTGTTAATGATTGTAATAGAATATGTTTTGATTCTAATGAATGAGAAAATTTTTCAATTGCAATTAATGCAAATAATATTATTTTTAATACAGATGAATAATTTGATAAATAATTTATATCATCAAAATCTAATGATATTAATTGACTATAATTATATATACCTAAATAAACTCGATCAATAATAAATTCAAGTGCTATTGTATTTAACATTGATGCACTTGTTGGACCAACTAGAAAAAATAATTGAATTTAATACAAACAAACAAACAAAACAAAAAAACTAACCGAGTTTTTCAGCTAGACAACCAAGTACAACTAATGTATTACGTTCACGATGTAAAACATTATCAAGTTTTCGTTGATTTTGTATATTAGAAGTATTATTTGTTTTTATTGTAGATGTTGAACGTTTTGATGAACAAAGATTTGAAATTGATGATGATATCTTGTTAGGTCTAAAAGAAAAAATAATAATAATAATAATAATTTATTCAATTAATTATTGAATAAAAACAAAAAAGAAAAACCAATTCATATCATTAGATTAATCTCCATTCAAAAATTTTGATTTCAATCTTGTAAAAAAGAATCGAAATAAAAAAAAGAAATCTAACCTTGGATATTTCTAGTGTCTAAAAAGAATCGAAAAAGAAAAAAAATATGATCAAATTTAGAAAAAATTAACGAGGAAAGATCTCCAATGGATAAATTTGCTTTTGAGTCAAGACTTCAAATTCTTAGCTTAATTACTGCGAAGATCCTACATTTTAATAATATTTTTTTAAATCAATTCAGAAATATCAGAAAAACTGACTTTCGAATTTCAATTTGAAACTTGACATAGAGACACAGACTTTAATAAGAATAGTTTATTATGAAAGTTTCAAGTCTTCTGATTTATATGAGTGATCTAAAAGATACTCTATCATCATATTTATATCTTCGGATAAGAACAGTAATAAGATCTGAAACATTCTCGTTAAGATCTGTCATATTTTACCCATAGGCAAGATTCATAATGTAGATAAAAACCTTAAAAGGATTCGTGCTATTAGGCCTTTCTTCTCGAATTATGATCATTTTAGCCTATCACAGGATATTATGAAAAAAACCACAACAAGAAATTTTCCTAATAATAGACCTTAATATATCCTGAAAGTTTCAGCTCAAACGGATGAGGTTTTTCTTAAGATATGAAATATCTCCAAAATGTACAATTTTCGAAGCTTTTATGAGAAAGTAATGGTTTTTGTAGATGTATTATCTTGAAAGAGAACTATTCATTTGAGGTTAAACTTTCAGGATATATTAAGACCTATTATTAGGAAAATTTTTTGTTGAGGTTTTTTTATAATATCCTATGGTAGGCTGAAATGACCGTAACTCGAGAAGAAAGATCTAATAGCACAAAACCTTGTAAGGTTTTTATCTATATTATGAACCCTACGTATGGGCAAAATATGAGTTCAAACAGCGTTTATCAATTCGTTCATGTACACAGGAGTGTGTCAGATACTTTTAGAAAAAATCTCAGATATGAACCCGATCGGATTCGAATCCATAAGATCCTTTCTTCATTTCAAAATAAATAAATTTACTTTTCATGTTCATGTTCATCAACAATATCATATGTTTGTTTTATTATAATTGGTATTGATTCATTAATATCATTTTTATTGTCATCTTTATTAATATGTGTTTCAATAATTGATTTTTGTAATTGTTGTTGATTATTTTCTTTAATATATTCATCAATAATTGATTCAAGTAATATTATTCTTGAACGATTATCTGAACATATACGTTTTATTAATTGTTGTAATAATTCTTTTGATGGTAATGAACATTCATCAAGTAATAATGCAATAACAGTTGCACCTAATGGATCATGTATTGGTATACGTTCAATTAATGCAATCATAACATCTAACCATCGATCTTCACGATTAGCTATACGTGATACAACAATCATAGCATGTGGTGGTTCTTGATCTGTATCAACAACAGTTCGAATAATTGAAAGTGTTTCATCAATAAGTGCATTTAAATTATATGGTTGAAATGTACGTATTGTTCGAAAACGATTTGATAATAAATTTCGACGAAATGTACGTGAAATATTATCAAATGATGATGATGATGTTAAATTTGTTGTTTGTTGAGATTGTTGCTGTTGTTGTTGTTGTTGTTGAACACAATTACCCATTGAATATTATCTAGAAATAAAACATATAGTCATTCAAAAAAAACAAAAGCACATATACAAATTAAAAAAGAAACAAACGACTTGTTCACCGGATAGAACAAACAAAAACAAAAAAAAACAAAGGACGGCGATATAATTATTTTGCTCCAAAAAAAAAAACAAATTACTACTGTTCATTTTTTTTTTCTTTTTTTTGAGATACAATTTTACTTTTTGATATAGAATTGTAAATAAGCAAAATCTAGCACCGAAAAAAAAAATAACAAAAACAATAAATAGATGTTTGATTTTTTAATCTGAATAAGCTCCTTGATCATTTGAAAATTGTTGCTGTTGTTGTTGATGATGTATTAAAGATGTAATTGAATAAATATCAACAGAATCTGAACGAGTTATTGATTCTCTTTGTCTTGATCGAATATGATTACATCTTGTTTCATTTGAATGAATTAATTGATCTGCACTATGTGTATTTGTTGTATTTATTTGAAGAAAACAAGATGACATAAGTGATCGTTCAGATATTTGTGATGTATCATTAAGTGATGAAGATTTTGATGGTGAAGAAAAAAATTCTGATGGAGATTTTGTTGGTGATGAATTATTACTACCACTAAATAAACGACGACCTATGGGTGGACTACGAAGTATTATCTGAAATGGTCCGGATTGACGACGTGATGAAGATACTAAGGTGGTTGGTGGTGATAATTTTGTAGTTAAGGATGAATCTACTAAAAGAAAATATCTTTTTGTTTTTGTTTTTGTTCTAATTAGAAACAATGAGTATTGAGTGTTTTGTTATAGAGAAAGATAAATTATTAAATCTTTGTATTGATGAATAACAAGCACGAAGAAAGTTCAACACGTACAGAAAAAAAAAAACTAAAGGTAACGCGTATGAGTGTGGATAGGACTGAAGAAAAGAATAGGCATGCACCCAAAATATGTAGGTTATTTTTATCTAAATGAAGCAAACGTCGCCTTATTTATTAAATCTCATGACATAACATTTTTCCATCGAATAGAAAATTGAAATAGGAGAATGATACTGGAAAATATCGAATGAGGAATTTCGGCAATGTTGATAGAATCAATCAAAAATAAGATCGATGAAAAAAGACTATTTGCCATAGAAAATCCTTGAGGGGGATCTTTACTCTTAACTACGGTGAAAAAAAATTTTATTTTAAAAACCAACAAATGGTACAACACTCAATGCAGTTTTTCATGCTGATCTCAAATATGCCCTTTTCAACTTTACTGAAAACGCGTACGAGGAAATTATACACCCATCGTTTGAGCTTACATTGAATCCACAAGCAAGTTTCAATAAGAATGTTAAAAGCGTAAAAAGGTTCATTGGCCTTCGGCACGTCTAGTTCTAACCTGTTTATTAGAATTGTGATTCAAATATAGATAGTTTGAATGTCGCTTAGAATATTCTTTGGTCGAGTTATTGAAATTTTCAGAATATTTTTACTATTCAAATCTCGAAAAAGTTCATTTTCATTTTGTCATCTAATATTCGCAGTGTGTTCTCCGTTTGATTGTCCAAGATTGACATATTTTTATATTTATAGCGCGATAATTTATTGATATAAGATAAGTTTGAAATTCTCTTATTGAGTTTGGGTATATGCTTAGAGAAGACTAACATCCGTTAGAATGGTAACCATCCGGTCTTCAATAGTTAGAAAATATTTTATAGATATGCCATTTTGCTCTGATAAAATTTATTGTTTTATTTCTTTAATCGAAGTATATTTCATTTTTGTAAAAAGCACAATCAAAACTATGTTACTTGCTATCATATATACTTTAGTAAAGATCAAATTTAGATTTGAATTATCGTTTGTAGAGAAATGTTAAATTTGTCTTAAAAGATTGAGTAAGAAAATTCAAGATTCGAAGTTTAGCAACCAATTGATAGGTAAATGACTTCCAAGAGATTTTGTAAAAAATCTGAATGCAAAATAATCTCATAAACCAGCTTAAAATTCTCGATTGATTACAAACTCTGACATTTACACTCATTGATCTTTCAAAAGACATCAGCTTCACTTTCATTTTTTTTTGTTGTTGTTGTGCGTGCTGAACTTTCCTCATACTTATCATTCCGATTCCCAAATCTTTGCAAATCATCAAGATTTATTATTTTTAAAAATATCATCAATTATTCAATCACAAATTATCAATGGATTTAAAGTCATTGCATGTTCTAGAATTATTTTACTCTTGGGGGTCTTAATATTTTCTGAAATGTTACATTAATCTTCACTTCAAGTATATATACAATTATCATTGAATATCTCACGAAATCATCATGATATAGAACGGAAAATTTTATCATAGGAGGGAAGTAGGGGTGTCAGCGTTCCCCGTTTCTCAGCATTCCGTTCCTAGGAACGGGAACGCTTGTCAAAATCGCATTTCCACGCTATATTTCAACATGGAGAGGTCTCTAGACATATTCACTTTTCTTTTTATGTTTGAGTGTTCAGCGTTCCCCGTTCCTAGGAACGGAATGCCGAGGAACAGGGCACGTTGACATCCCTAATTTTTATGAAATTGGCTTTTCTTCGGTGAATTAGTAAAATTTCTGTTAAAAGTGAAAGAAACGTATGTTGCGTTCCAGTTTCTAGGAACGGAACGCTGAGGAACGGGGTAGCGTTCCTCGTTCCTAGGAACGGAACGCAAAGTTGACACCCCTAGAGGGAAGGTACATCTTAAATGAAAATATCAATTCAAACAATCCGTATGATTCTATGAAAAGTCTTTTTTTTCTTCTATGTTACAAATCCATACTTACATGTTTGATCTTCATTATTATTTAATATCGAACATAATAAAATATTTTCATGTATTTTCATCATACATGCAAACATTTTATGTACAAATAAATATTGTTTCTAGAAACAAAAAGAATTTACATACAATAAATAAATAATAAAAAAAAATAAAATCTTTACAAGTGTTTGAATTAATGCTATACGAAATTGACGAATATGTGATGCTATTTTAAATACAGGATAAGGTTGATAATCTCTACTAAAAAATAAATGCTAAAAACAAAAAATATATTCATTCAACAAATTCGGTTTTTTTTTTGTTGTTGTTGTCTTTTCTAACCTCATCATTTAAAAGTAAACGACAAAGATCAATTGCAATTAAACTTCCAGTTCGACCACAACCAGCACTTTAATAAGAAAAAAGTAAAATATTTATTATAAATATTTTTGAATTATTATAAAACCTGCAATGTACAAGTATAGGTGAATCTATTGAAGAATTTCGATCTTGATAAACTCGTGAAAGTAATTCAAGTATTGATGATTCATCATTAGGTATATCATGATCAAACCAATGTAAAACATGATAAAGTAATATATGTCGTTGAATTTCTTCTCGAGTAATTATTAATGAATATATTTCATAATCATTACAACGATAAGTTTTATCATTTGATACATCCTATGAAAAGTTTTTATTGAAGAAAAAAAAAAAACAAGAAGAACAAGATTTTACTTTAGTAATATGATAAGAACCAAATTGAAGTGATTCTCCATCATCAGGCCAATAACGACGAAATTTCATCTAAGAAAAACATAAAAATCGATGAATAAATTCCTATAGAAAAATTTCTTACTCGTCCAGCTTCAATATCATTAGCTGTACAAATAATTGATGTTATTTGAAAATTCCAAATCATATGAAAAAAATCTATTAATGATGTATCAATTGGTCCTTGTGCTGCAATATATCGACGATGACCATATAGATCCTTAATTGAAATAGAAAATTTAATTATTATAAAAGAAAAAAAGGAATTACTTCAATAAAAGATGCATTAATATAATCAGAATCATTATCTAATGGAAGAATAACTCGATATTTATCATCTAAAATAAATTATTAATTTTAGAAAATAAATTCTTTTTAATTCTAACTTACATGGTAAAATATCTTTATAACGATTTTTTAAACGATTAATTGATTTTATACCTTCATTACAAGATAATATATCTTTATTTTTCATCATAGTTCGTTGTAATTTCTTTAAAAAAAAATATAGAAATACAAATGATTTTCAAATATTCTTATTTCTTACATTAAATTGTCGACCAATTTCAGTTGAATCAGGATCACGTGATTGTTCAAATTCGACAACTAATCCTGCCGTTCGATTACAAATATTATCTCCATCAGTATTTTCCGTCATCTATTTACAATAGAAAATAAAATTATTGATTTTGAATATTATTTTAAAAAAAAATTTAAAATCACATATTTGCTTAATACTCATAGATAAAGCAAAATGATTAAATATTTATTTTATTTTAACACACTACACGTAGGATGATAGTCAATCTAACCTTATTTCAATGACTTTTAGTACTAAAAAAATTATTTTTTTTGTATTTTGTACCCGATGTTATTTAAACTGAAAAAAAAAAGCCGCTGGAATATCGAAAATCAACTCAATCATCTACCATATATGGTTGATTAATTTAAAATAAATCAAGAATATTTATCTAAATGTGGTTATAAGATACGAGAAAAAAAAAGTTCTAAGAACTTTTCTAATCAATATATTTTTGTAGTCATTTTCAAGAACATTTCAAAGTGTATTTATTGTGTAAAAAAAATCCTAGCTTAAGAAGTAAGAGGGTCAATAAAAGAAGTTTGTAACATGTGTTTTTGGTTCTCCAAAGATAACGAATGGGACAGATTAAAAGGTCGCATTTTTTACATTACAATTTTTTATCACTTAATACATTGTACTAAAAAAAAACAAAATATATCACACGATGCACCATGAAAAGCTCTACAATCTACAAAGTAAAACTCATTTTAATTGTTCATTTTTTATTTTCAAAAAAAAATTCTGTGCGATCAATTTGCGACGCTGTGAAAAGATCATTTTTTCTCACACGCATGATTCATTTTATAAAAAAAAAACAAAGTGTATACTAAAAAATGCAGCGTGAAAAAGCTTTACAAATTACAAAGAACAATTTATTTATTAAAATTATTCAGGTAGTTACAAAAAATTGTCGCGAACTTTTTTTTTTCCATATATTAATTGATCAATGTTAAATATATGACTAACTAATTTAACACATAAAAATCAATCTAGTAGAAAAATCATGCTGACAATTGTCACTTTTTATGTTCGAGCATGAAATTTGATACACTACATGTTAATATTGTAAATTGTTCGCAACTCAAATTTCAAACGAGGTCTTTTTATTCCTTTCGTTTACGCATGACTCGATAGTCCTTGAGTTGCTGATGAAGAAAAAAAAAACGAAGTGTTAAACTTTTCTGGAAAAGATTTTCTACGTCAAACAAGAAAAATTGTTTATTCTTTTTAGAAAAAATTCATTATTTTTAAAATAATACGAAATTTTTCAGTTCTATTCTCTAACTTCACTTCTTCAAACTACGTCGGTTTTTTTTCCTCAAATTTAAACCTAAAATACTATTAAAAGCGAAGTCTCGAATTCGTTCTGTTCGTTTGTTTATAAACCCTTACACTTTGTTCTATCTAAGCAAGAACATTATAAAAAATTTGACCTTTTCCGATTCATTAATCACAAACCTGTATACATGCATTGCCCTATTTTTTTTTCTACATTGAGTAATTGCTGAGAAAATTCATTTTTAGATTTCTATTAAGATTTCACGAAGCTATTGAAATTTTTTTTCTAGAGATCTCAAGTTTCTGAACAACTCAATTAGACTAACTACCATAAAAAAAATTCACAAGCTTCAAGATAGAGACCCTTTTCTATGGATAGTGTCCTTTAGAAAGCTTCATATCTCGAAGAGAGTTTGTGAATTTTTTTATAAGAACTATTCCATTTGGATTATGTAGTATCTAAAGGCAATAAAAAAACTAATTGAAATCGGACAGAGGCAGCTGAAGAGATTTCCTCGTAAATCAATTGATGTACGATTTTATTGTTTATCTGATATAGTACTTAAAATGTTTACACTAAAACAAAAAAAACGAATGTTGGGAAACATATATCAATCAATTGTTGTTTTTTTACATTGATTTTGAATATGTTAATATAATAAAATCGAAGACTATAAAACAGAATTCTGACTATTTAATGTAGAATTTAATAATGAAAGAATTTTCTCACGTAGGATTTTACTTAAAATATGAGGCAAAGATATCTTACTATATAGAAATACGACATTATTATTTATAGTAAATCATGTGCTGATATGGTTATCAAAAGTTATTAGTAATCGATTTATAAAATTACGACAAATGATTCAATAGAAAAGAATGGATATATAAAAATAGAATATAACAGAATGAGAAAAACTTAGATATTTCTATTTTCATAAAAAACAAATAAACAAAAATTTTCATCGGATAATTAAATAGAACCAATCAAAATTGTTTTTGTATAAATATTTATCAAAATCTTAATATATGATTGAAATTAATAAATATTTTTCATAGGAAATAGAAATTTTTCTTAATAATTTTTTCAATAATTGTATTCAATGACATAATCATTAATGACATCTATCATTACTTAGATCCTGCCGATCTATAAAAAGCATAGATTATTATCCATGTAAAAACTTAGATAAAAATTAATAACAACGACTACATTATGTGATTAAGTATCTCAGAGAAACAAGCAATTAATTATAATGAAGATTTTTGTATTTTTCAAAAATGTCAAAGGTAATTTTTAGTAATGAATACGCAGCTACGTTATTTAATTTTCTATAATAAATTAGTTTAAAGATATATGAATTAAAAAACAAATGATCCTGACAAGTTTATGTATTAACATGATAATTATAAATGAAATTGTCATGTTTTATGGAAAGAATTCATTTGACTTAACAAAATAACAATCTACGTGACTAATTGAATTTGTTAAAAGAAGCTTTATGACTAAAGCTGTTTTTTTTTATCATGATAAAAATTTAAACAAGACTAAATGATTCAATATAATAAAAAGAAATACTCATCTTTACAAATATACAAAAACAAAAAACATGACTCAATGAGTTTTTAAATGACAATAATTTCTTTTCTAAATGATAAGATGATTAATTCATCGAATGGAAGTAATTGTTCATAGATGAATACACTTTATGCTATATTAACTTTAATGCTTGTTGACATTAAATATATCCAATTGGCAATCAACTGTTTGGTAAATAGAAATAAAAATCAAGTTTAACGGAGAGTGAAAAACTTTCGCGACAAAACACTTCTTCATTTTTCCAGCTCATGGAAATAGCGTTTGAAATAGATTTTTAAGGGATTGTTTCTGGCTACTCAAAACACGTGTAATATTGGAACATTACTATTGCATCTAATTTTTTGTAGTTGGTATTTCAACTTTAACACCAGAAAGGAGTCTCGTATGTTTGAATCTGTGAAATATACTCGATCAGTATATATCTTCATATGATTTAGGACGACAAATTCATTGTGAGTTCAGAATGTTGATGGTCTCGAGTTTTCATTGTGGCAATCGGAATATCGAATACCATTCTTTTATTTTTTTTTTTCTGAAGGAGTTTGAAAGTCTACATTAGACAGCTATTGACAAGTTAATTTTTATCTACTAGATCCCAATGGGGGATGAGCTTCGTTAGGCGACATTTTGTAAAAAAAATCAGGTTTTCTTGGAAACCTTTAAAAGATTTTTGGAGTTAAAAAATGGGTTTTCGAACCTCGGAAATCCACTATGCAATTGCAACAGTCTTTTAAATATTTTCGAGATCGGTCCGAAAATATATTTCGGTTTCCGAACACTGGGAAGCCTATTTAAAGTCGATTTCCAAGAAAACCATTTTTTTCAGAGTTATTGTTTTATAACAATCGAACCTTCGACTACGCTTCTTATTCTCTATTCTAATGATGTATAACTATGATCGATCACTAGTGGTAATGTCAAATACAAAATTGAAATTAGTCCATCCAAATTTCCTCAGAAAATGACGAAGCAATTGGATGTAGAACGACATTCAGTCGTCAGTAAACTAATAATGCACTTATCGAACATAAGACTTAGTAGAATTTTAAACAAATGAAAAAAATTGAAATAATTACTGGCGAAATTATGTTTAGACAGTATCAATTGTATCTATGTAAACAGTAGCAGCTGAAGAACAACTTGAATTTTCTCGATTGAAATTCATTGAGACCTATTGCGAACTACTCGTCTTGATCTCACCATGTCTGTACTAATAGGACATGACTTTTATGTAAGTTAAACCAATTTTCTGTTCACATAAAATCATAGTTCGAAATGGTTTTCGTGAGTCATTTAAAACATGATGTATGTAATACATAAAGCAGATAGATATTTTATTCAGAACATAATTTTTTGATTGTAGTTACATTTACTATTTGAATGGATTTCGACTATCAATTCTTTTTTAGATAACAAATATTTGTCAGAAATAATCGAGCTGATTTTGTAAGTCTGAAAAATCAAGGAGTTTCAAAGACATCAATACTAAAAGTTTTATTATTAATAGAAGCATCACAGAAAACTAATAATTAGATGAAACGTTCGCACCATCCGTTCCTTCTCATAACCTTTTCATTTAAATAAAATTCTTGAATGTTTTTTTTTTTCAAAAAATACTAATTATACTTTAAAAAAAATATTCAAATCGCAACAAAAAAAATAAAATAAACGAGCGATCATCAATCATATTGTTTTTTTGAATGATGAAATTTTTGTTGTCAATTAGACAAAAATTATTATATAATCACAAAGCAAAATAACAAAAAAAAAGAAAAATGATATTATTTTTTTATCTAAAGAAATTATCTACTCAAAAATAAAAATATATGGATATAGTACAAACTATTTTTAAAAAAAAATGCAAGATATCTTTATTTTTAAAATGTTATCGTGGTACGACTATATTAGCAATTGGCATATTCGAACGATTATTCGTTGTTGTACCATGAGCTAAAAATAAAACATCAAAAAAAAAAATATTGTTTAGTAAAAAATAAATAACTTACAAATCGATCGTTTTTTATTTGTATTCTTTGAAGTACGATTATACGGTGTTGAATAGAATGGATCTAGATTATCAAAATTAAGAATTTCAACATAACAAATAGATTTTTTTACCATTCGTTGTTGTTTGATTTTTAATGAGTTCAGGTGAATCAGAATTCGTACGACGAAAATCATCTGCTCGATATATAGACTAGAAAAATAAATTAAAGAGAAATAGTTAATAGTCGGACTTGGTTGATTAAACTTTTTCGGACTCGAACCCGGACACAGACTCGTACCCGGACATAGACCCAAACTCGGACAGAGATCCAGGCATGGACATAAATCTGGAGTCGGACATAGACCCGCAGGGCAAAATCATTTGTTAGCGACGTGACTTCGGAAAATTAAAATATGTGCATCTCGAGATAATGAGCTCTGTTAGATCTGATTTTTATATGTTGCATGGACATTAAGTTACTCTAGATACCCTAAAAAAATTAGCGCTATGAAGCTTTGTTCAGAGGAGTTATTGATAAAAAACTACCGTTAGCGACGTGACACAAAAAAGGACATCGATTTCCATTTCGTGCATTTTAGTTTTTAAAAACTCCCAATTCATGCACAATTTTAGAAAACTAAATAGGGTATTCTGTAGACGACTCCTAAAGCTATAAAGTCTATGTGCAAAATTTTTCTGAGCATGTCTAGGTTTTTCAAAAAAACCGATTTATTTGTCGTTAGTGAAGTGACACAGTACGACTACACAATGGAGATGGTGCTCTTGTAACCAACTGAAAAGTTCAAAATCGACTTCAAACGTAACAAATCCTTACCTAGACTCCCTAGATGATGATAGGACAAAAGTTTTCGCCTCTTCACTTTTTAGGGTCTCTAGAAAACCGATTTTTCGGAAGAAACTTTTTGGAGTCCAATCTTGCTGAAAATTTTACCATAGATGCAGCTTATGCCCTAGACTCTATCCTGAAGTTTTCAGATTTTTTTCTCATATGGTTAGCGAGATATTCGCTAATTACTTTTTAATTAATTAACTAATTAATTAATTAATTTTAACTAATAACCATGTGAAAGACCAAACATTTTCACATAAGCCCATGCCAAAAGAATTTATCCAAAAAATTCACTCTTATAGAGAATCAACCTCAGATGAAAGGTGCAAATGTCCTATTTTGCCGCGCACCCAGACACAAGCTTCGACTCGGATATAGAGTAGAGCACAGATCCGTACTCGGACACAGACCGTGACCCAGTCGAACCGAACTTTGATACTCTCAATGAAATATGCCAATTGGAATTGGATAATCGTCCCGAAGATACAAGATACTTTTTTCTAGTTTTTTTGTATTCGATGACAAGTGTATCCTACACATTTCTCAAATGACTAGAACCCATCGGGGTCAAAAATTTCGAACGTGGTTAAGAGAAGATTGTCAAACCCCAAACCCGATGGGCTCTAGTCAACAGTGCTTCAGCTCATCACACTATAACATTATGACTTCCATCAACTCTCTGATTCAATTAATTTAAGAAATTTTTGCGTAATTCTATTTCGCTTCTATGCTGGAATTGATTGTTTCCCTTTGAATATAAAATTATAGTTACATACTCCTGCTGGATCATTGATTGTTACTGTTTTTTTCGGTTTAACACCGGTAACTTCAAGACCAAATGCACTAGTAGTATTTTCTTTAGATACAATAGGTTCAGAAGAAAAAGCTGAACCTAAAGAATAGTTCAATAAATTTCAATTATTTTAATATTTTTAAATAATATACCCATATCTTCCATTAATTCTTTATGATGAAGATTTGCTCGTCGTTGTGCAGCACGTGCAGCTATATTTTGTGTTTGTTTTCTTAGTTTAACTTTATTTTTAACATTATTATTTTTATATAATGTTGGAGATGCTTCAGCTGTTGAATCATTTGGTGGTGATGTTGTATGAACTTTACGACGTGTTATACCATTAGTCATTGTATCACCATTATGTACTGATACATCAACACTATCAGAACTCATACTAACCATTGAATTTCCTTTAGCTAATTGTTTTGATGATTGATCGAAATTAAAATGTGCATATGATATTGGTTTATTTGTTGTTATTGATGTTAAATCTTGTCCTGATTCATTTTGATGATGATTATTATTATTATTATTAGTTGTATAATCATTAACATGAGTAAAAAGATCTTGATCTGATAATGTACGATTTGGAAGTAATGTTGTTGGATTATTACGTCGAGAAACATTCGTTGGTAAATGAAAACTAGTTACTGATGTTGATGCACTTGTTAAATCTTCTTCAGCAATTTGAGAAAGAATTGGTAATGTTGTTGGTATAGAAAGTTTATTAGAATTAATACCACCGGTTATTGAATGTGGTGAATGAACTAGAAATATTTTAATATATCATAATAATAGAAATTTCAAAAAGGAAATAAAACATATTTATATACTTTTAAGATCATGAATAAGTTGACCTTCATCAATATCTCGTGAATATAATTGATAAAGTTCTTCAAGATCTGATGGAATTAATAATTTATTTTCTAAAATAATATAAATTATGTTTATAAATTTATTTATTTAGTTTAACAAAAGAAGACAATTAATAACAAAGAGTCTCGAGGATTTTCTTGAATTGTTTCATGTTTCAAAATGATAGATCACAAAAAGTTCTATATTTAAATAATTATTTAAGAATATACCATGAGAAAGCGAAGTTGTCTTAATCGAAACACCAAGATTACAGTAAAATATTCTATGTTTTTAAGCGAATTATCTTATAAATAATATCAATGCGAGCCTAATTCAAGAGAGAAATTGCACAAAAAATGCTAGTCGTCGGCTAAATAATCAAAAAATTCTTTTAGGCTTAATACAAGTAAATTCTTGAATAGTTGTCTCTAGGCCGGGACCATTAGAAAAGGAGTTACCGAAACAAAAGAAAACTTGATTCCTACATAGGGCTCATCGGATCCAAAAATTTCTGGATTCGAACCCGATGAGCTCTACCCGTACGTCTTTTAACCTAACACTTTTTCATAGACAATATACGGCAAAACTATAATCAATATTTTAAAATTATTTCAATAAAAATCATTCGATTTTTTGATTTTTTACTTTTATGTTAATGTTTCACGATTGATTGAATATTTTCTATTTGATTTAGATTAAAAATTTTAGCTAAACCATTTCATTGTTATTATTAGTTTATACAAAGAACGCAACTGTGACTTTATTTATTGAATTTTTTTTTGATAGTATAAAATTGAAGGTCTTCATGAAACAAAATAAAGCCTAATATTGTTTTATATATAATATAAAAAGACAAACGAAGAAAAAAAGAAGTCCTTTTGTTGTGCAAGTATTCTTTTTTTGTTTCAAACAGATGTACATAGTGAATTCCAATTGACCTTATTTCAGTAGTGCATGTGACCTCTTTGTTTGTAATATTAGAAGAGATTTGGATGAAAATTTTCATTCTATCAACTACACAGATTAACAGTGAACATTAACAATTGAAGATTTAAGAGTTGTATTGTTTATTTAAGAAAGTATTGAATAGAATTTCTGTACAAAATTGAATTTAAAATATGATGAAACCGTTTTTTTTTTTTTGTGTATAAACATGAATGTTTTAGCAACACATCCCTCAAGGTTTGTCAGTTACTACGCGTCATGATGAAAGAATATTTATATGTTTAAACATAGAAAAGATGAAAGATAGACAATAAGTCACTTTCAAAGCTTATAGAATATTTAATAAAGAATTGTGGACTTCTTTCTTTTTTTTTGAAATATATTATTACTATTGAAAAAATCATATCATTAATAATAAACTTAATTATACCTTGAATAAGTTTTCTTTGTTGATAAATAATTGTATCACATAAACTACGATGTTGTGACATACGTAATAATTGTAAATCTTTATGTTTAATAGAATAATCTCGAGTAAATATATCAGCTTGTAATTCAAGTGTTTTCATTTCATATTCAAAATTTTGTGCTAATAATCTTAATAATTCACGTTGTTCAATAGTCGTCATTTTTTTTGTTACTTTCTAAAAGAAAAAAATACAAAGAAATTTTCCTATTAGATATTTTCTACAAACATCAAATAATCGACGTGCATCCGTTTTTGATACTTCAAAATCTTTTAATTGTGTTTGACGTTGTTTTTCTAATTTTGAACGTTCTTGTTCAAGTACACGTAATTCAGCACGTGCTCGTTGTACAGCATTATCTGATGTATTAATATCAATAATCATTTCATCGGGTGATTTTTTATGATTATGTGGATTATTTTCTTTATTACATTCATGACTAAAGCAAACAAAGAAAAAAAAAGAACAAGAATTCATATGAATTATTTGAAAAGTTTTAAATTAAATTTACTGTTCAATAACTGCTTCATTTCGTGTACATTCATGGATAATATCCATAAGTCCAGTATCAATTTCAAGTAATGCTCGTCGAGCATCAATTTGTTTACGATATGTTTGTAGAATATTTTCTTTTAATTTTAAACCTTCTTCAATACGAAGACGTTCTGTTGTATTATTATCTAATTAAATAAAATACGTAATTCAATTTTATAACTCATAGATTTTCAATGAAGATATCTGAACAATGAACAAATGTTTGTCTAATTTTTAAATTTGATCTTGTCCGTATGCCTATTATTTTATAGCCTATATCAAATTACTACAATGTGATAATAAGTATAGTCATCGAGATACGAAAACATTTCATTTTGTTGAACCACTTATTGAGTTCTGTCATAATGCTGAATGCTAGAAGATTGCTTTATTTTGGAAAATATTTCTTCACCATCTTTTTATTTAATTCTCCGAAAATATCATAAGGAAATAGTGTTAATGACTGTGATGATCTTTGACTACTCTATACTCCAGTATTTCTTTTAGATTGTATTTCAAAAAACTGGAACATTTTTTGTCGATACATTTTCATTAGTAGTATGAACTGCATCAATTGTTTCTTCTGTTATTACTGTAGAACGTTCAGAATATGACTGATCTGCTCAAGCATCAGTTTCATAGAAGAGTTTAGAGAGGTCTCTTTATTCTTCGTTTTTGTATAATATTCGACTAGCGTAGTATGAGAGCTATTTACATTTTTTTTTGTCTTTTGGAACATCCTATATAACGACTAGCAAAAAGTACATCGAGTTCTGATTGATTTCATCTTGAATTCTATTCTTTAAATTAACTATTTTTTAATTTTTCATTGTTAAGAATATCTAAGAGGTCACTTTTTTTTCCTAAATAGAATTAACTAAGCAGAAATATGCGTTCAGTCATTTGTTTCCTGTTAAAGTAATGTACTTCCGTCAATAAAATTAGAAATGAAATCAATCTCGCATCTAAATATATATATTTGATTTAAGATTTTTTTTTTATTATTTTGTTTATACCCGACAGAGTCTATTTTGCAAAAGGTAAGATGAAACGAAAATTTCTTTTCGTAAAAAAATATTGAATATAAGATAAAGAATGGTTTCATGTATCAATAAAACATACCACTAAGTCGACTAAATCGTGCTTCATTTGTTGTTGCTAAACGTATTTCAAGTTCATCTCGTTGATCACGTAACAATTGAACTTGATTACGTAAATCTTGTATTATCTGTTGATATTGTGCTATATGATAAGATACATCAATAACATTTCGACGAATCTATATTAAATTAAATTATTTTGTTAGACAAAAAAAAAAAAACCAGAAGAAAAATCAACAAACTTTTGTTTTAATATATTTTGCTCGATCAGCATAATTAAGTGTATTTCGAGATTCTTCAAAATGTACAGATGCTGGTGAAATATGTGCTATCATAACTGTACGAGAATTTCCTCCAAGAGAATCTTTTAATATTCGTGTTAATTTACTATCACGATAATTAACATATTTTGTATTGCCTTTTTCACTTAAAGCATTAATACAATTTCCCAAAGCAAGTAATGATCGATTGATATGAGCACCTTTAAAAAAAAAAAAGAAGAACATAAAGAAAGAAGATTTTGAAATAAATTAATATTAAAAATTTCAAAATTATTCAATACCTTCCATCATTCGTCGTCCAGTATTTTGTGTTTGTGCTGCTCGTTCTGATCCAGCTAAATCAATCATATAAAGTTTTGCTACAATAATGAATAAAAACATAGAAAAATTCTTCTGAAATTTCAATACAAAAAAAAAAAAATTTTACCAAATCGAACTTGTTCTGTATGAGATTTAGTTACATCACGTTGTTTAATATTAACTTGTAAAACGGCATGTGATCGTGATGATGTTTTATTAGCTTTAGTTGGTTCTTGTGTACGTGCACGATTTCCTTTATGTAACATTTCCATAACTTCTTCAGGAGTTTTAGCAATAACTTCACTAAGACCACCAACTTGTATTGTACCTTTAGCATCTTCACGTAATTCAAGAAATGATGATGATGATGATGTTGCAAGTAAATCACGTATTAATTCATTATAGATTTCTAAATAAGACATTGTGACTTGATATTCACGTTTACCAGCAAATTTTTTTATTTCAACAAATAAATCATGTAATGTACGATACATAACACCTGGATTCTTTTCTGTACCTAACATAGTATAAGTTTTTCCAGCTCCTATTTAATTAAAAAAAAAATAATTTTATTTAAAGTCTTTATATTTAATTACCTGTAGCTCCATATGCAAATACAGTTGCATTATAACCTTCTAAAACACTACTTAAAAGCATTTTAGATGTTGCCAAATAAACTTCTTGTTGATCAGCACGAGCATCGGACACAACATCAAAGATATATTTTCGTTCTCGTGAACGATTAGCACGTAAAACATCATCATGATCTTCTTCTGGATCAAGTAAAACAACCATCTAAAAATTGAACTAAGTAATTTTTATTTTTATTTTTACAATATAACAAACATACTTACATTATCATCGGCTACTTTATGTGCAATTATTGTAGCACCTTGAAGAATTTCTTCTTCAGTCATTGGTCGAATACGACAAGCAACCTTGATAATAAAAAAAAAAAAAACATAAATAAAATAATTTACAAAAAAGGAAAATTTTAAAATACATACAACAATCTGTTGTTCACCTGTTGGTAATAAGAGTAATGGCGGTCCACCGCTTCCATTATCTTTTAACACACTAGTCATTATCTATTATACGGTGAATATTGTATATTTAATATCATGCGTATAAAAAGAATTTTCTTTCACTCTTCTAAAATTAAAAAATATTTCAAAAAAAAAAAAATTCTCATCTTTTTTTTTCTATCGTAAAAGCTTAGCTTGAAGTATTTGTCAAGTAACGAGTCGAGCATCTATGTCAAGTGGATAGATAAATGCATACATATAGACATGCGCTTATGAACGTTATACCCCACTCATATTGAAATTATGATGGTGTCTATCATGAACTTGAAACCTTTTTTTTCTTCTCATTTGTACTTTTTCACAACATTCAATACACATTCATGCATACCTACTATTCTTACCTCTTCTTCTTCTTTGTTACTTTTAGTTCTGTAAAAAAAAAAAGGCATAAAGAGAAGAAGAAGAATAATAATAAAAGAAAAGTAAAGAGAAGCAGTTCTTTCAACTTGAGATACATATACACACGGAAAAACAATCAAATTGAAAAAAAAAAACTAAAAGAAAGAGAAAAAAAAATTGCCAACGTAAATGTTGTCAACAAGCCTTCCCCCTTCACTCCTAACGTCAGAATCAGTGGCATTGTGATGCTGTAAAATAACATGAAAAAAAAAAAAAAAAGAGAAATTTATAATATATTTGTTGTCGCATTCATGTCGTCGTCGTCGACGCCACCAACTTAATAAGCGCACCAAGAGAAAAAAAAAGAAAATTGAGAGAGTAACGGCGTCATACTGCAGTAACTGCAGCAATCTTGATTACTTTTTAATTCGAAACAAATAGAGAAGCATTTCTACGGATTCTTATGTTGTGTTTTTCTAGTATATGTATGGTTCTTCGTATTTTTTTTTATTTAATAATAATAAACAAAAATTACTCTGGAGAAGAAGAAGAAAAAGAAAAGCAAATACCTACTACTGATTAGACTTAGATATAATCAATTTTTTAGTTCATTCTATTTTCAGAAATGCTTTTATGTACTTTTTATTATTTCTCAAATATGTTCGTCAAAGTCAAACATTTTTAATCAACATAAACGATTCATTGTCAATCATATGTTTTATAGTTAAACATTCATACATACTAGAAACAAAAAAAAAAAAAAAGTGAACTCAATACCATAATATTTAAAATCATGCATAGTATAATACATAATATACGTATAAGAAAAGAATAAATCAAATAAAATTTCTCTTTTATAAATAATTAAATAACTCTGAATATAGTTAATATTGAATGATGTAGTAAAACTTACATTTAAATAATTTAATTAGGGTTTCTTTTTAGAAAAAAAAAATTATATATATATATATACGTAACTTTTTCTTACGGGTGAATACCAATGAAAATTGAATAAGTAACTATGCAAGTGAAACGGTGCGTTCATATACCAACTGACATCTGCGGCATAGTTTTAACGTATAGAATTTCAATTCCAATGATGGTCATCATTGTTGAAAAATTCTATAAAGAAATAAATAAATGCATGTCTCTCTTCTTCATCATTATCCGTTCGTAGATGAAAATTACAAAATAGTATAACACTTTGATGATTTTTTATATTATCAATAAAATTCAGATATATTCTACATATAAAAATATTTTGTTCTGATAATAAGTTAAGAATCTTATTTAAATTTATAATAAAGATTTATTATACAAGAACAATGCAATTGAAACTTGTTTACTAAAATTAAAATAATCAATTAGTACATAAATAAATAGTCAATAGTTTCGCCTGTTGCACTCGACATATTGACAAAGTTCAAGTTTTCTATCACGTGTAAAACTATATTCCATTAGACAAATTTAATTGCATCAAATACAATGGTCGGTTATTTTTTTTTTCTCTTTGTACGATAATCCCATACAACTCTCTCATTGGTATTATAAATAACCTAAAGAAATGTAACAAACTTGAACTATCAGAATTAATTTCATTTTTAACTCGGTTACACAAAATCCTTTATTTTTTTTTTAAAATAAACATACAAATCTATAATCTATTCAAAGGTTAATACACATATTTGAAAATTATAATGATTCTAATATCTATCATTTTCATTAATTTCTAATTATAAGAATAAATCAAAGTAATTTTATGTAAAATTTAATCAAAAAAAAATACTGTCAAGATGAATAATATAATTGAATCCATTCACTAACAGATACCAACTATAGTAATTTTGATCTTATGAAAATAAAACATTGAATCAATAAATCAATGAAACCTCAAGTGAATTGTCATGACGAAATTTGTTTTTTTTTTCTTCTGAATTTTGTGTTAAGACAATCAGTAAAGCTGTGTAACTACTAAAAAAAAAATCTTGTATTTCGATAGTCACCGATCAAATAAATTCATAGATCATTCTCGAAATAAATTATATAACAAAATTATAATGATCTAATACGAATGTTCATAGTATCGAAAATAAATATTAAAGGAACTCCTTTTAGAACAAAATTATAAACTATCGATTGGTAAAAAAGAAATCATATAAAAAAAAACAGAGTACCAATCGCTTATCAATTACTTTTTCGAAATTATGTAAAAAAAATATCTAAAAATTTATCTCTCTAAAAAGAAGAAATATGTATTATTAAGTGGAAAATTTATGTAAACAAAAATGAGAGAAGACTATAGATCCACTACAATGATAACAGAATAATTAAAACTAATAAAAGAACATCGACTTCATAAGTTATTCGTAAAAGACAAATATAATCTAAGTAGCATACCTACATCGAAGTCACCTCGTCCAGTCCGAAAGGATCTTTACCCTAGTGGAAGCACTCATTCAACGAATACTAAAAAGTACTCACGCTGAGTACTTGTCTTGTGAAGTTGAGTATTTCACGAGTACTCATGATACAGCTTTTGTGTACTCTAGTAACTTTTTATCAAACACTCGTAGGTCTATATTTCTATTCAGTATTGTTGTACTACAAATAACGCTCGTCGTTTGATCCTCGATTGAATGTTTAACTCTTTCTTTATAATATACTACTTTTGCAACTCTAATCGATACTAATATCAAAAGAATGCATGAGGGCGAGTACGATTATGGATATCCGTGCCGTATGGTGCTTCTCTTCATCTATTCAGCCGATCACATACATTCCCATGTACCCTGTATCACACTGTGTACAATCATATATTCACATGAATTTGTGTAACTTGAGGCTAACTGTTCTCATTCATGACTCTTTGGTTCAGTACTATCATCCAAGTAGGTTTGTTTGAGACTGGACATGCAGCTAATCGGATATTTTCACTTCCTAGGTTTCTACTAAAAACGAATGACTCAAACGTCGATGTCAATTATTTTTAAAATGATATGGTTGAGTTTATAAAGCTAATATAATTTATTTCTATATATCATGTTATAGACCAGACTAGTCCATATTAAATGCTACTAAAAATAGATCGAAACATTGTAATTGTAAGAATTTTTATGGAACTCTTTCAACAACTCGGTCAAATGACTCGTCCAGCCCTCCTTGACTTACACTTCTTATTTTGAATGTAATACATAACTAATTCGAAAAACCTAATTTATCGTTTTAAAGACAAACATTCATTGGATTTCATAGTTGGCAAAACTTCTTGTTTAAAGTAGAATTAATATTTTTCTCTTTAATATATTCTCTTACTTGGATATGTAATCTCTCAAATAATAATGATACATATTACTTTGCTGATTGTTATTCTTATACATATTCTGATATACAAGTAAAATATTTCTTAGGATTATCTGAGTGAAATTCAAAATGTTTGTTTTAAAAGTCAATATTGTAAACTTATCGAACATTACCCTACATTCATTATTTTTCACACAAAATCAACATCATTAATAAGGAATATAGGTCTCTTAGAGATATTTCGTACTATCAAGACTTGATCGACTTGTAATCAAAATGAATATTTCAAAAAATATTATATGTAAAAAGTATATTAATTATTTTTGATTTAACTGTTGTACATATCAAGTAGGTATTATTATTAAATCTTAAATAATATACATTTATCTCATTCTATAGAAGTAAGATAATATTTCTGTTTTACTTCATTTCTTCGTATGACTATTGTCTAATTTTGATTACTTTTATGATTTTATTAAATATTATTTAATTAATTATTTTATCAGAATAGGCAACAGAGTAAATAATATAAATCGATTCTACAGTGTGAAAGTTTTGAATATTAGTTGTTAAAGTTAAATTGAAAAACAATTATTTTATTTTAAGTAAATAAGCACAGTGAACTATGTCGTATTTAATAGTTTAAAACAATATTTAACGGAAATTTACTATTGCACTCAAGATCTAACTAATGTATAATCAATCGTACAATCGTATGAACATTATTATCCAATAAAATTTCGACCGTTATTCTAGAATAAATAATTCAAAATTAAATAGAAAAATAATTTTAGTCAATTAGACGCATTTGTTTGCCAAAATTTGAGATTTAATTACATGGTAAACTGTTTGTATTGATAGGATAATCATATTTGTAATTCTTGTACTAAAATAAATCAACAATAATAATAATATTCTCATTTAATTAATTATAAACTATTTTACTTGGACGAATATAATCAGAGAGACATAACGTATCCCATTCAATTTTATGATTTAACACAAGTATACACATAAGTCGAATGAAATTGGCATCATATGGAGCAGGATGTAAATTTTCCACTATGTCTTCATCGAGTTGATGGAATATCTCATTATCTGATTTATTTGTCGTCGATGACGATGATATATTTATTAATCGTAACAACAATCTAAACAAAATTCATATTCTAAACATTAAAATTATAGTCTAAAGAAATTTACTGAAAAGTTCCATCAGATTCTATGGATAATGAATCTAGATTTAATTGAATTGGATTTACAGCTTCCGTATTTTTGTTTTTGTCAGCAGGCAAAAACTGTATATCTCTACATAGATACCAGTTTCGTTTGTTATTGACTTTTTCTTCTCGTACAACAGCAACCATTAAATCAATGGGTTCCAACAATTTTTGATACATAAAAATGTAAGACTTTGGAATCTATTAATAAATCAATTGATCATCAAACAATATTTTCCAAAAGGCTTATAGAAGTGTTTCTAGATTTATATAATCTCTTAACATTGAAATCTCAAAGGTTTCAGCTCAAATGTTACAAAATAATCAGAATATTTCTGTTTGAATCAGAATTCTTTCCTACTAATCAATTGTTTTCTACCGAAAGCTACTGAATTATCAACTATTGATCATGCTAAATCGGAATATGATCGTCAAAAATCCTCTTATATCTGCATGTACTAGTTTTCTAGACTAATAAATATAATCTCTTCTTAATAGGGGGAAAACATTAAGTGAATACCGACTATGCAGTTTATCCTGATTTTTGAAAGATTTGATCAATGGTGATCTAATTAATTTTGAATTCAAAAGCTTATCGGTTGGACTATAGAATGACAAGAAATGCGAAAAAAAAACAAACGAAATCTTCATCGTTAACACTTACTTTTAGCCGAGGTAAAACACATTTTCTTTTATCTGCTTCTGTCTTGATTCCTTGAATTCGCATGATATACGACAACAAACTTTTATCTATCAACTTATCAAAGGCATCTTTATCGTGTTGTGTTTTTTGATAAGGATGAACATCATGTGCAAATTGTAATGAAGTTGATAATTTCATTGGCACTGTTGCTTGTGCAGTTTGACAATGAACATTTGTGATAAGATCATCAGAATTGTTTTTACAAGTACTTGTACATGGTGTTATTACTGGGATTGCGTTGACACTTACAGATTCATTTACAACAATGTCTACCATGTCTTGAACAGTGGCTTGTGTTACAATGTTCATATTTTCAGTGAAATGTAATTCATTGTCATTTGATGGACATGATGTTCCCAAAGTTCTCTGTGTAATTGATGTGTCGGAATCACATATATGTTTGTTGATATCATCGTTTGATGAAAGTAAATTTCTCTGATTAACATCAGTTAACGATTGAACATGATCGATTATATAGTCGAGCTCACCGGATTGGCACACATCTGCAATTTCTATTACAAAAATGAAAAAGTATTCCTTTGTGAAATTTACATATATTTTCAAAGAAAATAGTAAGTGTAAGTTTTGAGTTGAAGTTTTTCGGCTCTTCACCCCATTTCAGACAGCTTCCTATTACAGACCATAGCAACGACTCCCTCCCCAATTACAGGCACTTCTCATTACTAGGATTTTCGATTGTTTCTAAGAGTGGGAAAGAACTAAAAATTTGGCAGAAAGTCAATTTTTTTTTTGCAACTTTTAGTTCATCGAGAAATCTTTGAAGAGTAATAAAAAAGATCATGCTCTTCAACAAGCAAAGGCATTTCCAATAAATTTAAACTTTCAAAAAAAAAATAAAGACAGTTTAACATGCAGGCAATTCAAACTTCAAGTAAAATTTGTTTTTTTTGGCTTTTTTTTTACATCATTTGATAGAACATGAGCTGCTGCTCGCGAAGAAATATTTTACTTGAAATTCGCATTTTCGGCACCTTACAGATATGTATGACATATTTATGGTTCACTATGCCGATAACGAATGACTTCGTTGAAATATAAATTATTTTGAATAAAATAAGTTCAATTCACTTTTACACGTCGTATGTTTGATACCGATGGAATCACAACCCGACAATGAGCAATACAGAAAACTAATATTCACAAAAACTTTTAGGCAAAAAGAGTGCATATGAGATTTCTGGCAAAGAAAAATACCCTGGAGTTGATTTTCTGCGAGAATTTCGCAGAAAATATCTTCTTGATGCTCACTATCTATCTCTTACCAGAAAGAGGAATAATATGACTCAACTGTTCGTATTGCTACTACTAATCAATAAGTATGTCTGCACTGTGGAGAAGAAATTTTGAGAAATTCATTCTCTTAAATTATATTTATATATAGGTTGTACGAAAGCGAGAAAAAAATCTTTTTCATCAGATACACAGCGGAAAAAAATTTAGCAAAAAAGGATCCGAATTTACGGAGGGGAAAGCCTCTTTCCCCTAATCGGCAAGTCTGCCCATTACAGACCTTAGCGACTTCCTCAAAAAAACAATTCTATTTGAAATGCAAAAATAAAATACTTATAGTCTATGCGAGATTTTACTTTATATATTTTGTATGAGTTCCATATTTCAGCCCTAAAGGGACTGTGATAATAAGCTTTATTAAGATCTTCTCTTATTTCTTATAAGAATCTTACCTTTCGTTGATACTGAAGTGACCAATTCTGTAGGATATGAGCATTCGTTGTGGTGATGAAAAATCATATTGGACTCTTCTGATGTTGTATTTTCGTTATCAATGGTGTTCCATTTGCATAATAAAGCTCGTGAACAGTCGTTCAATTTTGTTTTCTTCTTGTATCGACCAAGATCATAAGAACCTTAAATTATAAGTAATAATTTAAACTTCTTTGCAGTTAACTATTACATAGGTCTCATATTTTAACCTGCTAAATTTATAATTAACTGTTATAGAGATTTTTAATCGGTTTTTGAAACTGATATTTTTTTCTACAACTAGATATGCCTATCTATTATGTGATTATAATAATTAAATATTTTCTGCATTTTATTTCTTTAATATTGTTTAGATTGTAATTCTACATATTTTAACTTACATGATGAAAAATTGTTCCGTGAAATATCACCTCTGAGCTCGCTCATAGATGTAAGAGGTAGTTGTCCGTGTAATTCTTCTAAATATTCATTATTTAACACAAACATATTCTTGAGACATTTATCGTAGACTTGAATTTTAAAAGTATCTGGCCTAATAACAAAGAATTCTCCAACTTTCTGTTTGATAAAATCCAAAGACATATTGGAGTTAAAAGTAAATGGATGAAGCTTGTGATTGTATCGAAGATGAAGGTTATACCAAGCCATATATTGAATAAAATAATTTTTCTTGTATATATTATATTCAATAAGTGTAGAACTGTAGTATGAATGCTTTTTTTTTGATCAGCACTTTATTCTAAACGATATATAAGATGATAAATGAATTGGAATATTTCAATCTATTTTCATGGAGATGAAATCACTGTATTTTCTGTCGTTTTGTGCTGTTGTACTTTTTAGTTGGTGCAAGAACAAATGGAAAAGAGAAAAAAACATTGGCTTGAATATTCCTACGAGTAGTTTTTTTTTTTGTTCTTCTTTTTCTCGTTCTCGTTTGCATTACACGATAAAAAACAAAGGAGAAAGATAAAAACAAGACCTGGAGTAACCTTGTTCTTTTACTTTACAGACGACATTGACTCACCTTTGCTTATTTCTTTCTTGCTTATTTCACAGGAAAAATAAAATGATGCACCAGAAAAAAATCGTTTGATTGTTCCAACGCTTGACTATGATAAGATGAAATTTTCCACCGGCATGGTTTCGAATTGTATGAGAGAAATTCAGATTTACTTTTTTTCATATTAAACAATCAAAAAAGTAAAGTAGTAGCACCATGCAAGTTGATACAATATTAAATTTTTTCGATTGTCATCATAAGTTTATATGTCCTTATAAAACATCGAAACTTACTGGCATGACAAAAAAGAAAGACATCGAAGATTTTATCTTAAAAAATTATGAATGTTTTAAGTCTCCAATTGATATTCGGATTCTTGATCAACATGCTGGCGATGTCACTTTGGATGATAATTATATAGACGACTACAAACCTTTCATTCCAAATGCAACCGTGACAACTAGTGCTGAACCAACCAATTCAGCAAAAACAACATTAACATTGCAAATTATTTTATTACGTAAGTCAATTGCTGCCTTTGTTCTCTATATTTATGAATCTTTCTGTGTATAGATTATGCTTCTAATTCAACTATCGAACAAGAACCTGTGAATATTGTAGCAGGTTTGTATACATTCAAATATTTGTGTGTGTTAACCAATTATTTCGTTTTAAATATTTGGAAACAGGTACCCCGCAAAATGAAGATACTCAACAAATTGATCAGGTTGTGTCAACTTCAACATCACAAACACATTGTATTGTTTCTTTCCATAACGCTTCAAAAATGGCTTTTATTGATGGTTTCAATGTCAACAATGAACAAAGAGATCAATACATTTCTGATGCAATAAATGTGGATACAGGAGCTACCGTTGGTAGCCTTAGTATGATTCAAGCTCCAAAAACTTCAAAACAAAAATATGGATGTAGATTGCCTCGATTTCGAGTAAGCATATTTAAAAATATTACACATCTATGTTTTTTTTTTATTGATAGATTGGAGATGATGAACTTAAAAACGGCAATAATCACGTCTTGACTTTGCTTGTTTACATTGTATTGGATGTATATCAATCTGGAAAACACTGGCTCTGTTATCATCCAGGACGAGCTTTTGTCGAAAAAGATAATCTAAGACAATTGTTGAAATGGTATAAAATACCTATTGAAACTAAGAAATGGACGAGCGACAAAGGGGAGGAGTAAGTCAAATTCATTATTTTGAACTTGAATGTTTTGCTTATATCATTTATAGACTTAAATTAATAATTGTTGCAATTAAAGAAGCAAAAAACCACTCTAGTGCACCTCTAAATATTTTATGTGAATTCGCAGATACAGATGTTAATGAAAGAAATTTATTACATTATAGAAAATCTCGTCTAGCTCTTGTTCTTCAAAAAGATGGTGTTACTCAATGGAAAACTTTAGTTCTATCCAATGAAATATTTTTCACAAGTAAGAATAAATGAATTTATTATAGATAGAGAAGACCTTTTCGAATATTTAAAAGGACGTCACAAATCTGATGTGGTCAATATTTTGGATGTTCCAAGCAATATAGCATCTAGATCAGCGGAAGAAAAACGATCAAAGAAACGCCGTATACTATCTTTTTTTTTTATCTCTTGATTATAACAGAAAGTGTATTTTAGAAAATACGTCAGATCAATACTCCAAACGAATAAAAAAAAGCAAAAGGACAAATCTATCTACAAACATGAATGATTCTTATATGCATCTTAATCAGAATCATTCGATATATAATAACACTAGTCAAATTATAGATAGTACATCTCAAACAATATTAAATGCTTCACCATCCAGTTTACAACTTCTTGCAGTAGGTTATAGAAAATATTCTTACTGTTCTTACGGAAAAAAACTTTCTCGCACACATAGAGTAATTTTTTTAACACTTTTAGTATCAATTTGAAAAATTAACTTTTTATTTCTTTCAATTAATATAATCTGATATTATATGATTGTTTTATTGTATTATATAGGATTCATCTCAAATCAACAGCTCACTTGGAAACTCAAATAATATGCATAATAATCATCTTAATGATTTAAATGTTCTTGATCAAATGGATGCGAACAGCATCATACTAAATATTGATCCTTCACTCTATGATGCTGCTAGTTCTTTGTTCGATGATATTGCTGGTTATGATACTAACTGTCCGTTCTGTGGTACTCCTGGTTATGATATTATTTGTTCGCGCTGTGGTTCGTCTCAAGACGATGCTCATTGACAAAAATGGATAAAAACTCAATTTATGAAAACGACTAAAACATTCTTGAAGGCATTTCAGTTCATTTTCCTCAAAGTACTTCTATTTTATTAGTATTAAAAATGATTGCAATGGTGATAAAGCCTACAGGAAATGTTAGAAACTTTTTTTTTTAAGAATTAGTTTCTTTTTGTCGGTGTTTTGTTATCTTGTGATATTTTATTCTTGCTGAATAAATTTTAAAAAAAAGCACGGAATAAATATTTTTTTTGTTTTTTTACTAATCATCAAGGACTAAAGGAAAACGGCGGATTTTTAGGATTCCGAATCCCTAAAAATCCAGTGAAAGTCCTGGGAGTACAATGGGAATCCTGGGAGTGCGATGGGAATCTAGAGAATCCCGGGAGTACGAAATCTGCCGTTTCCCTCTAGGCACGAACCCTTTGGAGATTATGCTAATCCAATCGTCCCCAACATATGAACATGAAATGAAGATAAACAGAGCAGATTATTTGGAGAATGTTTCCTCGTCTATAAAAAGCAAAAAGATAAGTCTATAGAACAATATTTATTTCATTCTGCAATGACTGGTTTCCCACATGTACATTTCTGAAGAAAATGTCCAGCCAAACAAACATTTTCATATTGATATCCACATAGGCGACTCGGACTTGGCAATTGTTTACGTTCCACTAATTTTTGACGAGCTACTTCAAGTGCTGATTCATTATTCTGTAAGCCAAAATAAGAGGATATCATTATTATAGTTGAATGAGTCTAGTATTTACCTTATAGCGGTTGTATAGTTGGATTGATGCATTTGCTTTCATAGTTGAATTGTAACAGGAAGTTGACGATAGCCTAATGCCTAATAAAGTCAATGATGTGTGAGCTGACGAAAAATAACTATAACAGCTAACAGATGAGAAAGTGATGAAAAAAATACATGATAGTTGGCTCTTACGTTGTCTTTCGAGATCGAGTATTGACCACTTTGAACATTTCACACAGATCGATTAACCGGGAATAATGAACTCCTTGTTCTAATTGTAACCATTTTGTGATTCTACTGGAGTTGTACGCAATCAAAACAACATTGGGTGAAAGGAATGAATACACCTAGAAGTAAAACAAGTGTGGCACTTTATCTTTACTTTACCAAGTAAAGTAAAGTGAACTAGCTTTACTTTATCCAATAAAATAAAGATAAAATACCATCCCTATTGTGAACTTTGCTGACGTACCCTTTTTAAAACCGTATCGAACGTTTGTCCATGATCTAGAGCACCATTTTTCAATCCAGTTAACAGTGTCAAATGACTAACGACTGGCACGGATGGTTTTATCGTTTGTTCGAACAACACAATACCGTCTTCATTTACAATGCTGACGCATGCTACACAGCGATCTTCATGAGTGTATCCAGTAGCCACTAATTCAATGTCAATTGATAGTAATATTTCGTCACTAACTGTGGCCATAATAAGATTTGCTTAGTAGCAGCAGTCAATTCAACGTGTTAATATCCAAATTTCTCGTTTTTCAGTGCAAGTGTTGAAATTACAATGATTTGTTAAATAAATAGTCGAAATGTAGAGGTTTTTTGAGTGAATCATCGTTTTATCATCAGAAAGAAATGTAATATCATGAATCATATATGTATATAGAAAAGCTATTGGAACGATTTATATCATTTTTTTGTTCTTCGCCAGTTACTTTTGCTAATCACAAATAGTTAAACTCGTGAATTTGTATTTTCAAATGTGTACAAACAAACTGAATGGTATATTTCTTCCCCTTCGACTTTAGTACATTTTGTTGTTTTTTGTACTTCAAAATTGTTTAGAAGACATGCAGGATCGATAACAAGTAGGCGTTCGAAAGCATTCCTTGTATGAGAGAATCATACGTGATCTGATATGCGAAGAAAGTAAAAAATTACAAGATATTCTCTTGAAACAAGAGAACGACAACAATTGAGATGTAATGCATATTAAATTATGTCTATATCGTACGCTCAACTATTTCATCGGGATTCACTAGCACTGAAAGACACCGAACACGATTCGGACAGAAATTGAAATAGCTTTCTTCAAGCGGACTGTAATAGTCTCACGTGAAAAAGATAAGATAACGTGTGGTGTGAGATGCGTTCTCGTTTCATCAGAATAGAAACTTTAAGAATGAGAACCTTGGTATTCCTGACTGGTAGCTTTCGTTATGCTATTGTCAAATATGAATTT